CCTGGCTTTCATACTATTAACACTGTTTAATTTGTCATTCAAAGTTAACCAAGTAGTTTCTTCCTGAGGTTAAAAAAATCTGGGGCCCTGTGAGACAGACAGTAATGCTATAGCTAGACCAGTGATGGCGAACTTCTTAGAGCTTTCGGTGATAAACAGCCTGCTGCAGCTCTTGTGCCATAGGGTTGACACCACCATGCTAGACTGTGATGTTTCATAAACTCTTAATAAGAGCAGTCTTCCTTAGTCCTAACAGAAATTAGATTTTCTGTAGCTTGTGCCTTCCTTTTTTACCTCCCTCCCAGCATTTATTGTTTACTGTGATATAATTCTGAACTCAGTTGGATGTTCTGATTGGTTACATAGTAACTAATTGGGGTGTTTGCATTGTATAAATACTATATCTTTGTTGGAGAAAAATTAGATACAGATAAGCCAAAAGATAATACATATAAATTTGCAAAAAGAGGAAATCTCACACACATACTACCTCTATGCATTTCGGTGAGTAGTCTACCAAGATGTTTCATTTCATTTTTTAAATTCATTTATTCATTCATTCATTCATTTATTGCAAACTTTGGTTCATATGTGTGCTGTCCTGTTGCTCCGCCCAGTACTAAAAATTGAATCCAGGGCCTTTACACTGAGCTGTAGCTATATCCACATTCCTTTTTATTATTTATTTTGAGAAAAGATCTTGCTCAGTTGCCTGAGCTGGGCTGGAACTTGGGATCCTCTTGCCTTAGCCTCCCAAATCCTAGGATTATAGGCATGCACAACTATGCCTATCTTTTTAAAAATAGTACAGGGAATATCTTTACCTGTCACTGTTTAATATTTTACAACTTCATTGGTTTGTGTTTTGTGTTGTTAGGGTTTCACTATATAGTGCAGGCTGGCCTTGGACTCACTTATGTAGCCCAGGCTGGCTTCAACTTGAAGCCATCCTGCCTCAGCCTCCAAGTGCTAAGATTACAGGTGTGTGCCACCACACCCAGTTTACAACCTTATTGTTAATGTTTGCATAGATCATAATTTTAAGCATCCCTTTTGGTTGTAGTTTAGGCATCCCTTTAGGTTGTAGAGGTTTCTTTTTCTGCCAAATTGCTTTTCAGAATTGTCCCTTTCTTTGCTCTCAGAGGCTGAGGCAGGAAGAAGTTTGCCAGCCTAAGAGACTTACACTGTCTCAAAGATTAAAATTTTATAAAAAGACCTCATTGCAAAGAACCCCAATGCCCCTTTTGGTGTAGCAGCCAGTATGGTATGGGTGTTTTGTTTCCTTCATGCCCATGGTTGGGCTACCTTAAAGACATTTGAGAACCACCAATATAAATCTGTTCTTCTTGTTTTGAAAACATTCTTTTAAAGTAATAGGAGAAGGCCGGGTGTGATGGTGCACGCCTGTAATCCCAGCACTCGGGAGGCTGAGGCAGGAATATCATTGTGAGTTTGAGACCAGCCTGGGCTGCAAAGTGAGCTCAAGCCCAGCCTGAGCGGCATAGCGAGACCCTGTCTCAAAAAGAGAGAGAAAGAAAGAGAGAGAGAGAGAGAGAGGGAAGGAGGGAAGGAGGGAGAGAAAAAAAGGAAAAGAAAAAGTAATAGAGTAGAAGGTTTGAACATTGGCTCAAAATGATGGCATTTGGTAAGGACTGCAGGAATTGTCATGTTACACTTTTGGATTTTTTTACTGTAGCTATCAGGTGTTACTTTTCTGAATAAAGGGATTGGTAACCCAATACTTAATTCATCTATACCTTTCTCCTTTTATGGCAAAACATCACTTATAATTGGGGAAAGGCACTCAACCAGTTAGGTAAAACTGATCTTTTTTCATAGTAGCTGGGGTTGTGGCAGGTGAGAACAAGTTTGAAAGGGGAAAAGGCCCATGTGACCACAATATAGTTCAGATTTTTCAGTGAAAAGCAAACTTTTTAATTTTTTTGGGCCAGGTGTATAGCTCAGCAGCTTAAGTGCTTGCCTGGCAAGACTGAGGTCATGAGTTTGATTCCCGGTACAAAAATAAATAAATAAATAAAATATAAATAAAATTTTTTTTATTTTTAAAAAAAATTTTTTTTAGAAAAATAAACTTTAGTTAACAAATAGTTGAAGTATGATTTGTTTTTTTAAGTGTTTGTCTTATATTCATGCTTGAGAAAAACCAAGTTTAATTGGAGAATGGGAGGTAAAGAAGAATGAATGAAAAGTGTGAATTTAGCCCCAAAAGTTATCTTCAAGCAGGCAGCTGTGTCTTCAACCAAATACTTCCCTAAGTTGTGCACACAGTTGTGCAAGTGCCTGCCTAGCCTTCCCTCACTCAATAGCAGTACTGGGAGGATTTGGAATACATTAAAGAAAAAGTAAGAATTAGAACCTCTGGTTTATTCTGGATCCCCATTGGGAGAGGGATTTTATTGGCGAAGCCTCACCAGCTGGTCCAAAAGCACCCTCTTTTAAAGCTGTTCTCTCTCTTGCAAAGCAGTCTGGATCTCTTTATATCAGAGAAAGAATGGCAGAAAGGGGAAGCCTAGGTTTTACCTCTGTGGGGTCCTAGAGTTTGGTATGAAGAGTATTTTAAATGGAAGACATTAGAGATTCAACAAAGAAGCCTATTTCTAGCTTATCCTACCAAAAGCAAGTGCAATAAATGAACACTAACAAATACACTTTTGGTGCCCTTCTGGTCCCACCAAAATCAAAATGTATCTTACATGAATCCTCTTTCTGGCATAGTTTTAAGGTCTGTTAAAGCAGAAAGACCACTCATACCTGTGTAAATAAACACTATGAAAAACTTTTTGAGACATGGTCTCACACTGTAGTCCAGACTGGTCATAAACTACATAGCCCAGGTGGTCCTCAAACGCACAGTCCTGCCTAACCCTCTGGAGTGCTACGGTCCAGGTGTGTGCTCACCACAACAACTCCCCTCCCCTACTTGTTCTTCCCAAAGGAGACCTCTTCCCGATCCTAAGTTATATATATAAACCCCTCAAATTCTAACTTTGATTTCTTTATAAGTTAATATGTATGCATGTTGCACATTTTTTTCTGTTAAACAGTCTCATCAGTTAATTTATAGGCTGAAGGCACTTATTCTTAGGGTAGGGGAATTTTTTCTTCCCTTGACCTCAATTGCTGCTTCTTTGTTGCTAAAACTATCTGAGAGCAGAACATTGTTTGCCAAGATTCAGTGTAGACTTTTTAAACAAGCTGAAAGGCTACCGATAGGGCTTTCAGACCTGCTGTATTTGAGCACAGTCCTGATCTCTGCTTTATGCAGTAATCCCCACTCTCCCTATGTATTCCGCAGTGGTTCAGCTTCCTGGGGCTCTGACGCTGTCCTCTCGGGGTAGCACATTACTTTCTTAGTCTTCCTGGAAAAGTCAAAAAAAAAACCTCTTCTCCTCCGCCTCTTCCTCCTCCTCCTCTTCCTCCTCCTCCTCTTCCTCCTCCCCCTCCTCCTTCCCTTCCCTCTTTCCCCTCCTCCTCCCCCTTCCTCTTCTTCCTCCTCCCTCTTCTACTTTCCCTTCCCTTTCTTCTCCCGCTTCTCCTTCTTCTCCGCCTTCTTTCCCTTCTCTCCTTTCTCCCTCTCCTTTTCCTCCTCCTCCTCCTTCTTCTACTTCTTCCTTATTTTTTTGTTTTTTTGTTTTTTTTGTTTTTTAAGGCAAAGTCTAACTATGTAGTTCAGACTGGCCCCAACTTGCAGCAATCCTCCTGCCTCAGCTTCCTGAATGCTGGGATTACAGGCATGTGCCACCACACCCGTCAAGACAGGCCTTAACAGCTGTACAACATCTGCCCTACTTACTCCAGTAAATTCAGTTGTTACCTACTGGGAGAAGATAAAGCTTTGTTTCCAGCATGTCATTGTCACTAACTCCTGGTCCTGTTCTCTTTTCACACTTTACAGCATCTCCCTTCTATATTCCTGCTTGTTAAGTGCTGCTAAACATGATAGATTGACCCCTGAATGCCTTCTTGGGGCCATTAAAGTTGCAGGTTTTGGAGTCAACCACAGAGCAAGGGTGGCAATAGGGATTATCATGGTAGATAGGCTATGATACCCTTGGATGGATTTGAATTATTTTTTTTTATTTTATATTTTCTCCTGTACTGGGAATCGAACTCACGATCTTGTGCTTTTATTTTATATTTTTTCCGGTACCAGGAATTGAACTCACCTGCCAGGCAGGTGCTGTGCCGCTGAGCTAAATCCCCAGCCCCTGGATTTGAATTCTTGAAGAGACCTTTAAAACCAGAAAAAGAAACTCGATTTAATGTTTTAACAGTTCTCTATCCTGAAAAGACTTCTCTCTTATGTAATACTGATGAGCCTTTATTTTATTTTATTTTATTTTTTTTTGGTTTTGGTTTTTTCCGGTACCAGGAATCGAACTCATGACCTTGCGCTTGCCAGGTAGGCGCTGTGCTGCTGAGCTAAATCCCCAGCCCCTGAGCCTTTATTTTTAATTAAGAACTCTTGCATTTTAATTCTTTCCATTGTCAAAATAATCTTGATTAAGATTAATAGATTTAGAGTTGGAAAGTGTGTTAGTGCAGAAACTAGCTGGCTAAAGCCAGAACTTCTTGGTAGGAAAAGTAAAGCTTCCCTCTATTCTATGTTCGTGTAGTCTCAAGGAGTGCCGTCCTCTGGACTTGCATTTAATTCGGATAAAGTCCCCTCTGAGAAACAAACTTGGGAAAGGGAATAAAAAAAGCACATTTCATTTTTATATCTTGAGAATTACAGTGGAGCAGAAATCATTTACAGCATGGAGTAATGTTTCATCTTTAAATCTATTAGTATATTAATCTACTAGTATATTGCTACTAACAGCTTTATTTCTATGACCTTTGTCCAGTAAAAGTCTGGCCCTAACTGTACAGTATGTTCGTTATTTTTGAGGGGTGCTTACTGTTGGAGTTTTTGCTTTTGTTCTCTGTTGTTTCCCGTGTCTTTAACAGCTTATCTCCTTTTTTGTTGATATCCTCAGGTTCGAGAACTTGTCTTGGACAATTGCAAATCAAATGATGGAAAAATTGAGGGCTTAACAGCTGAATTTGCAAACTTGGAGTTCCTCAGTTTAATAAATGTATGCTTGCTTTCAGTTTCAAATCTCCCTACGCTACCTAAATTGAAAAAGGTAAGTACTTTTTCTTCAAGTAAAAGACAACTAACTTGGGAAGGGGAAATGTATGATTTTGCCTGTAAGAAAGGACTTAGTGTAATACAAAATGTAATAGAAATAGAAATAGTGTAATAGAAAACACATGGCCCTTGGAACTGGTTAGATAGGGGATTGGATTCCAGCTCTCTGCTGGTTCCTTTATTTTTTTTATTTTTTATTTTTTTTTTTGGTTTTTCTCCGGTACCGGGAACCGAATCTGCTGGTTCCTTTAAAAAAAGCAAGCAAACAAACAAAAAAAAACCAATGCTGGAGGTTGAATTCAGGGCTTGTCCCGGGCTGGCAAGAGCTTTACCACTGAGCTATATGCCTCAGCCTCTGTTGTTTCCTTTATGGGTGATCTTCCACAGGGTGCTTCACCACCTTACACTCATTTTCCTCACCTGTACACTGGTGATACTATTTGACCTTGCAGAATCATTGTGATGTTTAGAAATAATGTTAGATACTCAATAGTGGTCATAAAGATTATTTTATAGGTTAATTGTTAAAAGTTTGCTATAATGTTCACTAGGTTTTGTTCTTAGTATGCTGATATTTTGTGTTTTGTTTTGAGCAATTTAGTTCAGGCTGGCCTTGAGTTTATTAAGTAGTTTAGGCTATCCTCAAACTCAAGGTGATCTTCCTGCCTCTGCCTGCCAAGTGCTGGAATTAGAGGTGTATACCACTATGCCCAGCTTTTTTTGTTTTTTTGAGACAGGGACTCACTATGTATTCCAAACTGTTCTTGAGTTCATTGTATATCTCAGTGATCATCCTGCCTCTGCCTACCAAATACTGGGATTACAGGCATGTGCTACTACACACAGTTCATTACAGTATTTTTAATGAGTAAGTTTGAAGTGTGTTGTGACTGACTAGAAGAATTCAGTGTAAAATATTACTATATTTTGCTATGCTAGTTGATGGCCTATTTTTAAGATTCTGATAGTCTAATTAAAGCCACTTGTCTGCACCCACCACCACCACCACATTTCTCCAATTCGCAGGAAAAGGACAAAATGTAAACTGGGCATGGTGGTGCACACCTATAATCCTAGCACTTGAGCGACTGAGGCAGGAGAATCATCACAAATTCAAGGCCAGCCTGGGCTACATAGTACAGTAGGTTCAAGGCCAGTGTGAACTACATAGTAAGACTCTGTCTCAAACAAAAAAGAAAAAAGAGGCAAAATGCTCAAGAAAAATATTTTGTGTTGTCCTGCACATTTAGCTGTCACAAAGCCCTAGAAATATCAGAGTTGGAAGAAACTTTGGTACTATATCTAGTCCAGGCCTTTGGTACAGCAACAGTCCCAAAAAGGGACAGTAATTTGCCTAAGGCACCCACTGTAGTGGTTAGTGTTAGAGCCAAATTTGAACCATCTCTTCTAACCCAGTACCTTTTTCATTATATTGGAAAAGGTGTGTGGTTATGTAGTACAGAACTTAGTTCAATTTTTATTTTAAAGGCACACTTTTTAAAAACTTTCTAATCAAGTTTAGGCAAAGGACACATAGACTATTTTTAGAGCTTGCTTAAGTCCTGACAGGTGACTTTTTTTGTGTGATGGGGGTTTGTTTGTTTGTTTGTTTAGTACATGAATTTAGAAATTGTAAAAGTATGCCCATGTCTAACTAGCTTGCTAAGCTAATATATGCTCATGCAGCCCTCATGAGTTTTCAGTATACTTGCCAATGAAAATATTTCTCATTCCTAAGTATCTACTTTATAGATTCCTTGTATTTGCATGAGTCATCAATGATAATGGCAACTGATTAGCTCAGCAAGATGTCAATTTAGCATAAACTTGATGCTAGCAGATCCCTAGTATATGTTTTGTATTGTTTTACTAGCATCTTGATGAGTTTTCCTAAATTACCATGACCTCAGTACTCAGATGTATTCAGAAAGTTGTCCTGTCAGTGACCACTTATTTAAGGGCTTTATCAAATCTTTCTGAAATCTGTAAACACTAATTACTTACAGGGTCAATGAGGGGGAATCATAGTTAAAAGACAGAATATTCTTTATGTTTCTTCTTACCACAGAGCACAGATTGTTGTAACAAGAAACAAGTACTTTATTTTTTGTTTTTTTGAGACAGCGTCTCACTATGCAGTTCAGGCTGGCCTTGAGCTCACTTTGTAGCCCAGGTTGGTCTCAAACTCGAAAGGATTCTCCTGCCTCAGCCTCCTGAGTGCTAAGATTACAGGCATGCTCCACCACACCCAGCAAAACAAGTACTTTAAAAGAAAAGGCAGGTGTATAAATATTATAGATTTCCAAAATTTACACCTTTTTTTGGAACTGGGAATTGAACTCAGGACCTTGTGCTTGCCGGGTAGGCACCGTTCTGCTGAACTATATCCCTGGCCCTACAGGATTTTAAAGTAAATGTACAGTAAAGGCTCTGGTGGATTGCCATGTTACCCCTGTATCATAATATCTCATGTTGAAAGATGTGAACAGGTTCACTGTCCTGCATTATGTAGTGCATTTCATCTGTACAAATAACATACATAGGTACATAGCATCGGGGGAGAAGGCATGGGTTCTAATAAAGTTTATGGCCTGACTTTGAATCATGGGCCCAGACCATAGCAGCTTTGTCATCTTGGTCCAGTTACATCTTTGTAGTTAACTTCCTCATCTATAAACAAGGGTGATAATTGTTCCTATGCTTTAGGGTTGTGAGATCAAATGCATTAACATACTTCTAATACCATGAACAGTGCTTGACACATAAGTACTATGTAGTGTTTAGATAAACCATTGCCAGCACTTAAATTAGGGAACTGGAACCAGTTATATGGCCTGATTTTTTTTATTTTTTTTTTTTTTCCATCTGCAAAAGGCTTGGATTAGACTTTCTCTACAGTGATCTTTAGGCTCCAGTTCCTTGTGCTTTAAGATTCTAGCACTCCTTGATGAAGTCTTCCCTTTTTGGCACACTACTTGTCTGTGCTGCTGGATCTACAGCTAAGAAATTAGAGTGGGTTCTTGGTTCTTATATGGAGTGACCTCTAGGGAGTAGCTTCATAAACCTAGGTTACTGCCTACTGCCTTTCTTTTTCTTTTTAGTACTGGGGATCAGACCTACAGCCTTTCAAATGCTAAGCACACGATGTACCACTGAGCTGTATATCCCAGACCCTCCTTTTTCCTGACGTCTTACACCATTTTTAGGAGCTCATTTCTGAGGCTTATCACTCTCCTGTGGCCTTCTGAGCAGTATTCCATATTGTCTTTAGGTGTTGAATCCCACAGTGTATTAGCAGTGCTCCAAAACCAGATTTTTGTTTCAAGTGAACATTGCAAACTTCTCAGAATGCACAGACTATCTACCCTGTCCGGCAGGTACAAAGTATTACAACGTTTTAGAGAATTATAATTAGTTTTTGCTTATTTTGGTATTTAGGGGGGACTTACTTCGTTTTGTTTTTTGAGACGGTCTTGCTGTGCTGTTCAGTCTGTCCTTGAACTCACTGTGTAGTCCATTCTGGCCTCATTGCAGCAATCCTCCTGACTCAGCCCCTTGAGTGCTGGGATTACAGGCATGTACTATCGCACCCAGTTCTAATTTGTTTTGACCTACTTTTTAGGTTAGAAAATTATTCACTAATACTAGAAGTCAGTTCTTGAGCAAATTGTTTTTAGCAGCTGATTGAGAAAATACCTATCTTGTTCTGTACCCCATTTCCACCCAAGTGTTTCTGGGATCTTCAAACTACATTTTCAGTTTTAAACAAAGTGAACATAACATGCTTTAATCGGGGCTGGGGATTTAGCTCAGTGGCACAGTGCCTGCCTGGCAAGCACGAGGTTGTGAGTTCGATTCCAGGTACCGGGAAAAAAAAACCAAAAACACATGCTTTAATTGAAATGGATTTTTTTTTTTATCATAATAAGTATTTGAAAGCTATATTTACTATTAATAACACCTTAGTGATGTGTGTTTGTGTCTGTACCTTGTGTGCTTTCTTTAACAGCTTGAGCTCAGTGACAATAGAATCTTCGGAGGTCTGGACATGTTAGCAGAAAAACTTCCAAGTCTCACACATCTAAACTTAAGTGGAAATAAACTGAAAGATATCAGCACCTTGGAACCTTTGGTGAGTGACTGAGAATTTGGAAACTGGGAGTTACTGGTCATTTTCATTTTCATATTTATAGTGGGAGAAATGATTGGGAATAATAATTGAGAAGATGATGGCTTTTTATTTTTTATAGGAATCCCAATTTTAAAGATCAGAGCCAGGGCTGGGGACATAGCTTAGTGGCACAAACGCCTGCCTGGCAAGTGCAAGGTCCTGAGTTCAATTCCCAATACCAAAAAAATAAAAATAAAGATCAGAGCTTATCTATGTATATTCCTATGGCTTTTTGTTCCTTCTGCCTGATACTATGGCTTCCTCCAAAGGGGAATTATTTGGTGTTTTCTCTGCTTGTTAAAATTCATATTTACAATATCCTTAAACATGTCTGTTAGTAAATACCACCCTGCCAGGCTGGCCAAATTTTTATACTGTACTTTTGTACTAAAACTATAGAAATTGGGTGGCATGTCTGAATTGTAGATGGAACAATCAAGCACAGCTCCACTAAGTTTTAGCTCTTAAAATTCTGATCTTGTTCTCTACTAGTCACTGTAGCTTAAAGTTCTGTGTGGAAATCCTAAGATCTTCCTCAGTGTGACAGATGAGATGAGTCATAGAAAGCCAAGTTTAACTGTCACTTAGGCTATAGACTTGCTGTGTGACCTTGGGCAAATTGCTTCTTCTCTCTGGGCCTCAGTTTCCTCATTCATGACGTGGGGAGGATAGTAATGCTTAGGGGCTCTGAGGATAAAGTTTGGTAATGCATTTCCTTCAGTTGTTAGGTTGGAAAGCTGTGCTAATGAGAATCCAGTCCATGTGAAGTTGTATTGGCCAGAAAGCTTCCAGAGGCAGGGTTGGAGGCAGGTGTGGGCAGCCCCCAAGGCTGTGCTGGAGAGGAGGGTAAATGCAGAGGTAGGAGCTGTCTTTCAGAATCTCAAAGAACAGAGCCAAGAGAATAAGATAGCTTCTCCATTGTCTATTACCTGTTCTAAAATCACAATATATTAAAATATGTGAATTTCACATCACTTGTAAAGAATGTTCTGTTGATATTTGTTGGGAGGATAGTAAATAAAATTGTGGCTTTTAATGAAGAATTCCTGCCACAATTATAAGATCTTTTTCCCTTGTAATTAATAATTGAGACGTCTCTGCAGTACAGATCTAATTACCTTACATTGATTCCCTTTATTTTACATTTCATTAAGTGGGCTATGTTTAAGAGCTTATTTCTCATAAATGTTGGGAGCCTATTTCCCACTCTCATGCATAAGTTTTGCTCTTTCTTCTTTTAAAGGAAGTTCCCAGATATTTTTCAGCCTCATTTTTTAATAGTTTTGTTCTATTTTTCCAGATCAATCCCCCTTTCCTATGGTAAAGCAGACATTTATTGAATTTTACTGTATCCAAGGACATGAACTTTTTGCTCATTGTGTGTCCTCAAATAATCCAGGAAGAGAGAATGACTTCCTATGAGAGATCAGAAAACTAAGTTAAAAAAGACTTTAAGAGAGTTTAAAGAGCTTAAATAATTGGGATAAATGGCAGTCAACATTCAAATCCAGGTTCATTGTATGTTCTATAGCCCTTGACACCTATGCTTTCTTCCTATAAATTTATTCCATACCCAAATTTTTGTAAGTTGGGAATTCTAAAATGAGCAGTAAATTAAGTACTGGTGCTCCTTAGTATGGTGGGTTACATTAACCTTCTGTTTATTGATTAATGACAGGCTTCTTAATTCTGGGTCATTTGTGAACATAGAACAGCTCTCCCTACCACCTCCCCCCTTCAAACAGTGTACCAGACAATACTTTTCCCTGTGAGATGATTGGCTGTTGGCTTAATTCTCATAGCAGCCTGCGGCCTCTTTGATACAGAAGCTTGCATCCATGTTTTAGTACACAGGCAAACCAGAAACCAATACTATGTGCGAGTTGTTTGCTTAAGTGTTGCTGATTTGGTCTGTAATATAAGAGGGCCCAGAGAAAGTAGCTGTGAAAGTCTTAGTTACCAAAGTCAGTGAAGGTTGAGAAATCATCTTTGTTGTATTTACTATTTTTGGAGGCTTTACTGTGCCCATATCATACACTGTACTGAGTGCTTTGTACCATACGTGTTACCTTATTTGTAGTTACTAGAAAGCATTTCTAACAATGTGGATAGAAACAGCATGGCCCTTGTTTTACATTTTACATAGAGGAAGCTAAGGCTTGAATGAGGCTGAATCCCTTGTCCAGAGTCACACACTATGGCAGAGCCAGATGCATTTGGAAAAACCTGAGCTCCCACCATTACATACTTGTTGTCCCTGTGCCTTTGGGTTACTAAGTTGGTGTCCCAATGTTCTCACTTGGGGTAAAGGAAATCTGTAGGAAAAGATGAAAGGGGGAGATGTTGGGTCCATTTTGACATCTGAAAGTATTCTTCAGTGGGGAAGAACACCATCCTCATCCTCATTAACCACATGCATTTTAAACACTACGTTGAGCCCAGTTCTTAAGTCAATGCAATGATTGTGAATGCCTCTGCTTGCTACAGGGACATTAATCGAGAGACAAAGAAGGCATCAATTCAAACTTCCTTGGACACCTTTTTTAAGAGACCTGAGCCATCCAAATCATCCCCCAAAGCCCTTCTAAATTCTAAGAAGGCAAGCAAAATTATTGTTAATAAAATGTTTACTGTTTATTATGGCTAGCCTATTAGCTTAGGTCACATTTCTGGTAAGGTAGAATTGTAATTTTTTTAAGCAATGTTTACACATTACATTTGAGATCCTAAGTAATCTGTGTTTTGTGCCTGTTAAGCTTAAAGCACAATTTTACTACTTGAAACAGTTCTAAAATACTACAGTCATTTGGATTTATTGCTATTTACTTGCTTTGGTTTCATTTTCTAGCACACTGTTTGGCATATTCAAATTAGTTCATAGGTGTCTTGTCAAAAAGTAGCCAAAAATCTCACACAGGAGAGCTTTGGCAGCCCTATATACTGGAATAAACTAGGGAAGGGTCTTGGGTATTGTAAAGCATTAGATAAAAATATCAGAAGATGCATGCATTTTTATGCACTCATTCCTAGAAAATAATTTTGAGATGTAAATGGCTCATTCCTTTAAAGAGTTTTTAGACTAAATCTCTGAAAACACTGCAGACTTACTTATGATTGTATCTTAGCTGGAGAAAGGCAGTATAATGAGCTGGTTATTTGCCTGGGGTGCTATTACAGCGTTATTTCCCTGTTGAGCAAGAACTGATACCTGGACTTCTGTAGGTGAGGGCCTGCCCACTAGGAAACCCAATCGGGAAGTTACTTAATACAAAAGCAGCTCTCCCTAGGACTAGCAGGACTGGGCTTTCTTAAGACATCAGGAGCTGCTTTATATAAGTACATTAATTGATTCACAGACTCTGAAATTGTTGTACATTGGTGTTGGAGGGGAACAGCGTTGCCTTTCATTATAATCCTGCTCAGTGTCCTCACTGACTCTTAGTCCTCAAGAGCTGCTCTGAGAATAAACTAGGGAGATGAAGATCCTTCCAGCATAGGGTCAGCAGCCCTTTCTCTAAAGGGCCAGGTAGTAGATGCAGGAGGCATTGACTAGCCACATAGCCACTCAGCTTTGCCACTATAGCTCAAAGGCCCCATGCTCATGAACAAACGAATTTGACTGTGTTCCAATAAAATCTTATTTTATGAAAACAGATGGTAAGCAAGAATTGGCCTGTGGCTGTGGTTTGCCAACTCCGATTCTAGAACTCTAAAGATTTTCAAGTTACTTTCTGTCTTCCTAGAATTGTATTAATGCTGCCAGTTCTAGAAACAAGGTTTTGCTTTGTCTGAATTTCTTCCCAGGTCCTTGTGAATGTTATAAATAAGGATCCGCATCCTTTAAGCATCTCTCTCTCTCTATATATATATATATTTCTTAGAGCTTAACTTCATGCAGAAATCCTCTTAATAATCTTTGGTACAAGTGTGTGTATGTGTATAATTTTCAGAAAATACAAAGCTTTTTCTCTTGATTTAGGACCAGTAAAAGTTATGTTTATGAAATTTTATTGTCCCATTCTGCTGTACATTTTGTGTTCGCTTTTTATCAGCTGCTGCTGCTTCTGCCTGCAAGGATCTGCTATTTCCTGTCACTGTCTCCTGATTTGTCTGTAATAGTACTTCTCCCTCAGTCTCTTAATGTACCCTAATATTTGCACACTGATACACTATAACAATGAAGCTGGGGGTAGTGGCACACACCTGTAACCCCGGCACTCTGGGAAGCTGAGGCAGGAAGATCAGAAGTTACAGCCCAGTCTGGGCAACTTAGTGACTTAGCTAGGTCTTAAGATTTAAAAAAAAGGGCTCAGTGCAAGGCCCTTGGTTCAGTTGCCAGTATCAAAAAACAAATAAATGGAGATGAGTAAAATATATGGACATTTTTCCTGTCCTTTTTGGGCACTCAAAAAGCTTTTCCTTGGGCCAAGTTTTTGTATTAGATGATACTCCTAGTTCCAAACTAATATGATACCACAGCAAAGCTTCAAGATCTGGCAAAATCAGAAACAATTTACATCTGAAAAATCTGGTAACAGTATCAGGCTTTCCTAGAGCATAAAAAGGAAAAAAGGAGTGTAATTTTTCTCTGTATTTCTGAAATTTCAATTCTGTGAGTCTCCTCCTCTCCTCCCCAATCCACTGCCCATATTAACACTTGTCTTTCCTGAAAATACATGTGCATTGACACATACAGTATTTTGTTACAGTGCATCCTCTATAGAGTTTCATATAGTGTTACAAGTGCCTTGATATTCAGGACTGTTATAGATACGTTTCCCTATGCTAAGGTTTGAACTAAAATTTTAAACTGTCTCATTCTTGAAAAGATCTGGTTTTAGTAAAAATTATTTCAGATTTACATTTCTTTACACTCCTAATGCTGCAAGCAAAAGACAGTTCTCAGGAGTAGGTGTAGGAAGGGAGGAACTAAGGTCTAAAGATGGTACAGGACTAGTGTTTTCCTACATATGTCTTAAGTAGGTAACACCTAACCAAATGTAGAGCATAGAATTTAACCTCTTTAGATAGTTGGGTTACTTGTACTTCTTTGGTTTAGGAGTTGTGTGTTTTTGTGTTTTGTTTTGTTTTTTTATTGTTTCCTTCAGAAAAAATTGGATTGTCTGAAAAGCCTGGATCTGTTTAATTGTGAGGTCACCAACCTGAATGACTACCGAGAGAGTGTCTTCAAGCTCTTGCCTCAGCTAAGCTACCTGGATGGGTATGACAGAGAGGACCGGGAAGCCCCAGATTCAGATGCAGAAGTGGATGGTGTAGATGAAGAGGAGGAGGATGAAGGTGAGTGGGTTTGGCATTAAGTAATGAGACTTCTGTGTTTCTAAGGTCCTGAGAAAAGCTACTGAACGTTCTTGTGGTTAAAAAAAGTAATTCATATCTGAATGTAGGCATTCTGTGAGATTTAGACATCTGAATTCTGATAAGCTCTTGTGACATAGAAGCCTTAAAATGATTCAAAATAAAAGTCATTTGTTAACAAATGCAGCCTAGAGAATGACTGTTCCACACACCCACTGAAGTGCGAAGTACTTGTGTCTCTATGCCTTTCTCCCAGCTACCCCCTTGGTTATTGCCTGCTTATCCTTCTAGGCTCAACTGTGTCAGCACCTGCTGGAAGTATTCCCATACCTCTAAACTACTTGGTAGATGCACCAGTACTTGGTGCATACTTGTTATAACCAGATAGAAATTAACTTTCCTGCTTTTGATGCATGACTAGAGTTTTAAAAGGAAATGACTTTAAAGTACTCCATGTGAGATTATATGTTCCATTAATAAGAAAAGTAAGCCGGGCGTGGTGGTGCACACCTGTAATCCCAGCACTCGGAAGGCTGAGGCAGGAGGATGTTGCGAGTTCGAGACCAGCCTGGGCTACAAAGTGAGCTCAAGGCCAGCCTGAACTGCATAGTGAGACCCTGTCTCAAAAAGACAGAAAAGAAATCTTTGGTTATAAAATGGAATAAAACATACTTTTCAGTATTTTGGCAATGAACTAAGTCTTTTTTTTTTTCTTTACATATGAAGTCTCTGTAAGAATCTTTTGTGTATTTTCTACTTACAGTATTCCTCCCGATTAGCTTCTTCTGTTCTTTGCACACCAACTTGTGTAGTTTAGGGCACACTTCTTAGGAATGAAGTTTCTCATCTTCAAGTGGTTGGAACAGGAGTCCCCAACTAACAGTAACACTCCCTGCCTGTAAATGCTCAGACAAGGGATTACTCACTCCTTATGAGAATCTATTGGTGATCTGAGTGGAGCTGAGGAGCGACTGCAAATGCAGATTGGCATTAGCAGAGGGGTTTAACTGCACAGAGAGCATAATAAATCAGTTACTTGCAGACTTACTAAAACCCTATCAATGTGAGTGGCAAGTGACAGTTGACTTATTTTATTTTACCTAATTTGTTTTGGTGCTGGGAATCGAACTCGGGACCTTGCGCTTGCCAGGCAGGCATTTGTGCTGCTGAGCTATATCCCCAGCCAGGTGACAGTTAACTTCATCTGGTGCCTCTATCCTACATTGCATGCTTATCTCAGTCACAGTTTTGTTGAACTTACAACCCAACCCTGGCCAAAATGAGTGAAAAAGCAAATACCATGGGAGATATATCATGGGTCCTTTGAAAAGGGGGTTAGACCCAATGATGAGAAAGCAGAAAACTCCCAAGACCACCAACAAAAAGCTGCATTTAAAAGAAAATACCAAGAGTCTTACTTAAATAACAAGTTAATTGCAGCAGGTAATTCATAGTTGGCAACAAAGCCATGAAACTGTCAAAACTGCTTCACTACCTGGAGACCTAGCACCTTGCATTAAAAGACCAGCCTTGCCGGGTATGATGGCGCACGCCTGTAATGGCAGCACTCAGGAGGCTGAGGCAGGAGGATCATTGTGAGTTTGAGACCAGCCTGGGCTACAAAATGAGCTCAAGGCCAGCCTGAACTGCATAGGGAAACCCTGTCTCAAAAGACAAAAATAAAAGACCAGCCTTTGGAGTTTTTTAGAAGAAAAAATGTGAATACCAAGAGCAGAAGCAACTACTAAAGGCAACTACTTCATGAAATGTGCTGCACTGAGAGCATCATTCTTAGGACTAACTGCATTGCTGAAGCTAAGAAGCCCATCTCTGTTGGTGAAGAGATGACCCTGCTTGCTGCTGAGGACATTTGTAGTGAGCTTTTAGGGAAGACTGGTTCAAAAGGTGTCATGTATCCCTTTCTTAGCTAGCACTAAAACTAAGCAGTTGATGAAAGGGCCCAGGATATTGAGGCACAATTGTTAGGATTAGTCATTGTGGTACACCGTCCAGGTTGGCAAGTTTACTGATGTTGGCAAGGCAATACATAGTGCAAAAGGCTTGGCATAGTGGAAGCAGTGGGATTTGTTTTTACATCAGTCAGCATGAAGAGACTTGGTCTCATGATTCCTGATGCTACTGGGCAGCATGGTAGAATGTGCCTATAATCTTGGCACTTGGGGGCTGAGGCAAGAGAATCACATGTTCAAACGACTCAAATGGTTCCTTAGCAAATGGTCCTTACTTAAATTGGGAGCCTAGAGAGCATTAACTGTTCCACCCAACCCATAAAAGTACTTGTAATTCTCTTTACAGTCTCATGTCTTTGTCAGCCTGAGCTACATGAAAGACCCTGTCTGCAAAACCGAAGCAAAATTCCTGATACAGTTGGGACTTCATACCATTGTTATATTTGAAGCACAATTTTAGACAGCTCTCTCTTTTTGAGACAGGGTCTTACTGTGTAATTCAGGCTGGCCTTGAGCTCACAGTGATCCTCTTGCCTGAGCCTCCTGAGTGCTAACATCTGTTTTTTAAAAAGAGCTAAACATCTCTTTTTTAAAAAATAATAATGCCGAAGGTAGAAATGGCCAAGAAAAACGATTAGGAAATATATCAGATTGTTTCCATGCAATGAGTGTTACAGGATCTGGAAACACTTTTATGGTTTTTTTGTAGCAGACTGAGATAAGCAAAAATTGAGATGCATGGTGGTAAGTAGACAAAGAATAGGACATCTAACCTAGTTCCTTATGTTTATGGCCCTGGTTCCCTTTGCTGTACGTTTCCAGTTATTCCTAAAAACTGCTTGTTATCCAAGTTTGCCTTGACTGGTGAAACTCCTTGGAGAGGGGGGCCAGTTCCTGAGCACAAAGATGAGTCAGGCAACAAATACTGGCATATTTCCTGTGTGCTAGGCACTGTGGTAAACAGAAAAAAGGACGATCTCTGTCCACTTGTGGCATATTGTCATACAAAGGAAATTTTTTTTCTTTTCATTAGTCAATAAAATTTACAGTATGCAATAATATAGAAGCCCCAGGTCTGGAACTAGTCAGAGCTGGGCGAGTAGGGGAGAAAGGACAAGAGTGTGCAGGAGGCAGGAGAGAGCACAGTGAGTCCTGACACCAATGGAGAGGAGCTGCTGTCCCACCAGAGGTCCACAGCAGTGGGCAGAGGCAGGTCCAAACTGCACTGTGACCAGGGCATAGCAGGTTCTAGGGATATTTTCCAAGTCCATGATCAGAGCAGCAGGTTCTGACCATTACTCAGGAGGAGGGAGTTTGTTTCTTAACTTTTTATAGTGAAAAGCTTCAGACATTGACAAATCTAGAAATAATAGTAAAATCCTATATTCCCACCACTCACAGCTGATCTTGTTCTACGTATGCATTCTCCTTCCCATCTCCCTCCTGTTATTTTGAACCAAATCCTAGGCATTTCATTATTTCATCAGTTGAAGTGGTACTGTACGTCCAGTCTTCCAGGACTTAAAGCCTCCTGATTTTGTGATGCTCTTGGATAAAGGGTGAACTATCACCCCTGTAGAAAGAGGGTGACTCCTAGTCTACTCGAATGTTAGTTGCAGCCAACTAAGGGCCGGCCAGCCCCTGGCTGTCATATCCCTTTACAGGAGCACCCCACAATCAAGGTATCAAGGTTGTTGAATGAATTCCATTTTGGACTGTTTGCAGAAGGAGAAGATGAGGAGGACGAGGAAGATGAGGATGGTGAGGAGGAAGACTTCGATGAAGAAGAGGATGAGGATGAAGATGAAGATGTAGAAGGGGACGAGGATGAAGATGAAGTCAGTGAGGTCAGTGCACCTGTCCAGGTATTTTTGTAGTGCTGGTGATGGAACCTACGGCCTCACACAGGACAGACTCGTGTTTATTCCTGAGCTACATCCCCAGCCCGGTGCATTTGCTTGCTTTTTGTAGCAAAGGCAAAAATGCATTACGAGAAAGACAAGGAAAAGGCTTCCTGAATAACAGTGGGAGTTTGATTCATTCCATTTTGGTCCCTATTTCTTTTATAGCACAAAGGATTAAAAGCAGGGCCTCAACATTTGCTAAGCAAGTGTTCTTACCACTGAACTACATCTTCAACCCTTGTACCCCTTTAAATGTCAAATGATATGCTTACTGAATCTTAACAAAACATAGTACTCAACTCTACAAGATAAGTTTTGGTCCTTTAACTTCAAGAGAAAGGAATGAGTTGTGTATTCAGTAGGATAGAAAAACTGGAAATGCTGAGAATTAATAGTATGTCTTTTGTGTCAAAAAGAAGTGCATGTTTACCAAGTCTGAAGTTCTTCATGTATATTTAGTTTCATTCAGTAAATGTATGTCTGCTATGTTGGGAGAAAAGTTTAGTAAGAATCTAGTCCTGTCCTAGGAGAAAAGGAGTGACTCTACCTTGATTCTCAAAGAGGTTTGGAAAGCAGGCAGAGAATGTTTTCACTAAGAAGCATGTTCTTTTAGTAGTACAAAAGTAAAGCATTTGTATGATCTCATGGGTGTTTGATGACTTACTGTCCTAGGGGAGTTCTCTGTAAGAACAGGAATATAGCAGGGCCAGAGATACGTAGCTCTGTGGTAGGGCTAACTTTCATGAAGCCCTGGGTTCAATCCCCGAAGCAAATCCCCCAGCCCTAAAAGGGCAATAGGGAAAAAAATCAGCTTCCAAATCTGCTTTGAAATTCAAGATTGTTAATTCTTTTCTTAAATTTTTCCTTTTAAGTCATATACTAATTAAACATCTGACAAACTGGTCGCTTCTGAATAAAAACATTTTAAGGATGCCCATTAAGGAAAATCAACACTTCAACAAAGCAAAGTAGAAAGTAAATAAAAGTAACATTACTATTTTCTTCTTGATTTATTATTAGGTATTTGCAATTGGGAATGTACTTTAGTGGTATAGCATTTGTCTAGACTGTATGAGGCCCTGGGTTCAATCCTTAGTATAAACCCCAAAAAAGTGATGTTTATTTACAAAGTATATTTCTTTTTATACTTCTCAAGTGGCAGGATTAATCTTACAGTGTTACATTGTTTACCATTCTTTAGGAAGAAGAATTTGGACATGATGGAGAAATTGATGAAGATGAAGAGGATGAGGATGAAGATGAGGATGAAGGTGGGTCTAATGCATGAATCTCAGTTAAAAGTTACGAAAACCAGCATGCTAGCATGTGCTTGTAATACCAGCAGTGGGGTGGCTGAGGCAGGCAGATAGATTATGAGTTTCAGGCCAACCTTGGGCTACATAGTTCAAGGCCCGTCTGGACTACAGACATAACAAGACCCTATCTCAAAACAGTTAGATGAAAAGGTCCATTATTTAGGATATCATAACACTGAGAAGATGATAACATGCCCTTGGCTCATGTCCTTTGTGGTCCTGTTAGTGCATCTAAGTTAGTATAACTTTCTCAGTCCTGCTACAGGAGGGCCTGAAGTTCGGCTAGTCCTTAATCTCCATGTTTTAAGTGATTTTAGATCTCATCTCTTGGTTTACTGCCAACATTCTATGAGATTTCTTTGTTGGATTTCTTTTATTGAAAAGGTTAATTGAGTTGTAACTTACCAGGATGTATAAATAGTACTTTTCCAGTTTTATGGGTGTTATTTCTTTCCCCACCACAACCAAGAATACTGAAATAGTTGTTATTTATTTACCATGCATTGAGAGTACAGATTCTTCTGGTGGTTTAGATCTTCAGAGAACCACATTGCTGCTGTGCTTTGTACTGGCTCATACTTATATACCGTCTGCTCTATGCCAAGCACTGAACCACTGGGTGTTGCATTGGGAAGGACCTGGTCACTGACAAAAGATTTTGAGACATGAGTTATTATAGATTTAATTAATTTCATTAAAATTAGCCATGAGTTTTTCACTAGTTGATAAAAAGATTTCTATCTCCCTCATTCTCAAATATTCTAAGAACATAATTATCCTAGGAATGCTATTTTTAATTTACTTACTTGTTTGTATCTCCTAAGCAAGATAGTGTTATGTCCACTAGCACTGTCTTAGACTTCTGTCTCAAAGTCAATTTTTGTTATTTGTACAGAGGAGGAAGAAAGCGGAAAAGGTGAAAAGAGGAAGAGAGAAACAGATGATGAAGGAGAAGATGATTAAGACCCAGATAACTTGCAAAAACAGAACTGTTCAGTATTGGTTGGACTGCTCATGGATTTGGTAGCTGTTTAAAAAAAAAAAAAAAGTAGCTGTGATACAAACCCCAGGACACCCACCTACCCAAAGAGCCAAAGAATAGTTCCTGTGACATTCCACCTTCCTCCATTTAGTCCCTCTTGGTAATCCACCACCAAGCTTGGGTACTTTTCCCCAGCAAAATTGTAAGCGTTGTTAGGTTTTTGTGTAAGACTTGCTGTTGCATGGCTAGCTGTGATTGGTGAGTCAACCATCTATGGCTACCAGTTACACTGAGATTGTAACAGCATTTTTACTTTCTGTACAACAAAAAAAGCTTTGTAAATAAAATCTTAACATTTTGGGTCTGTTTTTCCATGCTTTTCTTTTTAATGAATTTTTTTCTTAACAATAGGACATATGTGACAACTGCCCAAAAAAAAGTATTTTTAAGACTTTAAGTGAAATAAACACGTTACTCTTTGGTAAATCCTAGTTGTATGCTTACATTTTTAAATTGAGCTGTAATTATAAAGTAAGCTAACATTAAAATACTAGACGATAAGGTGGACTTTTTTTGACATTACATTAGTGATTGTTAATGAGAAAGTGAATGCACAAATGTGTAGGATCTTCTAGTGTCCCTCATTTTTTTTTTTTTTTTTTTTTTTGCTTTTTTTCCAGTACCAGGAATCAAACTCACAACCTCATGCTTGCCAGGCAGGCACCGTGCTGCTGAGCTAAATCCCCAGTCCCTAGTGTCCCTCATTCTTGATGACTATCAGAAAATGCAGGCTTTTTAGAAGTGTTTGGGGGCTGGGGATAGTGTTCTGGCAGAGCACTTGCCTAGCTAGCAAGCATGAGGAGCTAGATTGTCCCTAGCATCTTTTGTTTGTTTGTTTGTCATTTTGGAGACAGGGTCTCTCTGTGCAGTTCAGGCTGGCCTTGAGCTCACATTGTAGCCCAGGCTGGTCTCAAACTCGCAATGATCCTCTTGCTTCAACCTCCCAAGTGCTGGGATGCGCCACCACACCTGGCGTCCTAGCAAAATTTTAATAATGTTTGGAATTGCATGCTCTAAGATCAATGAAAACCAGTAAAGTGGGCTGGGGATTTAGCTCAGCGGCAAAAGCGCCTGCCTGGCAAGCGCAAGGTCATGAGTTCGGTTCCCGGTACCGGAGAAAAACCAAAAACAAAACAAAACAAAACAAAAAAACCAGTAAAGTAATGTTAAATTTGAGTAATACATAAATTAAGAAAAAGAGCATATAATGTCAAAAAGGTCTTAACCAAGCTGAGCATGACACATGCCTATAATCTCAGCACTTGGTAGGCTGAGGCAGAAACGTCATGAGTTCAAATCTAATTTGTGGTACATAGCAAGATCAAGGCTGAACTACATAGCGAGATGATGTCTCAAATACACACAGCGGCCTTAACCAGAGTCCCAAAAGAGATCTGAATTCTAATTCTGGCTTTGCCACTTTTTCTATGTGACCTTGTGTTCTGGGTTCTTTCCCAGTCTAAAATTGAAGGGGTGTAACCAAATGGCTTCTGAGGTCTGGCAGCATTGATGTTCTGTGACCCTCAGTGACACCAGTCTGAAGGAAAAAAATAGGTTTCACACTAAGACTGAAGTATGCATGGTTTGACTGACAGGAAAACAGAGAATGGTTTGTTACCAAGACAGGCATGCGAGGAGGCAGCAGTGTGTGAAAAACCTCACCCACAGGCACTGCCCAAGACCAGCTCATCCTTAACAGAGGTAGAAATTTTCTCTATTCTTAGGCATCTTAAGGGGGTTGAGGGAGGGGAAGGTATTCCCAATCTGTAGTCAGTGGCTTAGCTGTTTAGTGAAAACAGATGTATGACAGTCTTGTCCATAATAGATTTTTGTTGTTGAAGATTTGAGGATTAGTTTTACTGTTATCTTAGCTGTAGTTACTGGAATGCATGTAAAAGCAATATGAAAGATTAGAATCTTAACTGTACATAGGAAAACTTAAATAGTCTAAATTGAGCCCCCAACTTGAGTATTTTAAAGTCAAGTTGCCCATATCCTTTTTAATTATTTGTAAAGAAAGTTAAAACAATTTGAGCTGCGTATGGTGGCACAAACCTGTGACCCTAGCGCTGGAAGGTTGAGGCAGGAGGATCACCAGGAGTTCAGAGCTAGCCTGCACTGCATAGTGCAGCTATCAAAAAAATAAGTTTTTGATTTCTGGTTTAACTTGTATGACTTTTACTCAACGACAGGGCCCCTGCCACTTAGCAGATATTTATTTAATACATTGTAAAGTGGTTTCTTCTGTCAGCGTTTGAAATGTTAAATAACTGAACATGGTAAATAATTCTTTTTCCTACTTACAAGTTTATAGAACCTTCTAGTATCTGCAGAACACCTAGGATATCCCAGGCTTACGGACTGGATGAGAGGGAGCGGGATTGGGTTGGAGACCAGCCAGCCACTGGAGCTCACAGTATCTAGAAAGGAAGATGATATTAGCAGGGGAGTGATCCTTCCTAGGACTTAGGAACAAGATGCCCACATGAGTGTAGTACAGGCTTCTGGCTTCTTTCGAGGGAAAATTTCCTAGAGAGAAAAAGATTGGAGCTGTGTGGGCAAGTAAGGTTCAGAAATAGAAATGCAGAAAAGGATAGACAGTTGTACAAATGGGGCAAAGGTAGGAAATCGATGGGAACATGTAGATAGAAATACGGAGATTTAGTGGCACATGGCCTGTCATCCCAGGGAGGTAGAGGTGGGAGGATCTCTGTGAGTTTGAAGCCAGCCTGGGCTATGTAGTGAGTTCAAGGCCAATGAATTGCATGGTAAGACCCTGTCTAAAATAAAAAGTTAACTAGTGAAGAGAAATAGAGACTAAGAAATTCAAATCTTTTTTGTAGTGCAGTGATGGCAAACCTTTAGTGATCAAGTGCCATACCAACCCAGAGCCCATTTATTGCAAAGTGCCATTAAACCTGAATACTGAGGGTTTAGTTTAGAAAGAACTACTTAAACATCTTTTGTCTTAAAAACAGTACCATGCTGCCACAGGTTTGCCACCACTATCACACAGCTGTGTTGGGCAGGCCTTGTGCGCACTCACTGCCCTTGACCTTGCCTTGCAGCCAGCGAGATACTTTTGCATCCTCAAGCCAGGATTTTATTTCTGTCATTTTTCTTTTACAGTTAGTTTTCCCGGCACCTTTGACACGATTCTGCTCTCAGGGAAGTGTGCAGTTCACTGGTGAAAAAACCTTGGCTAAAAATTGTTATAAAATCCTGAGAAGCAGAGCTGGGGTATATAGCTCAGTGGTAGAGAGCTTCCCTAGCATATGAGGTCTTAGGTCCTGTCCTTAGGACTAATAATCTGAGAAGCTTTTGGTGATATCATGCAGCAGGCCCTATTTCTGGAGTTATCTATGTGAAAGAACTTCACTGAGTAGATTTGCAACAAATATTTGAGTACAGGGGCTGGGGATTTAGCTCAGCGGTACAGTGCTTGCCTGGCAAGCGTGAGGTTGTGAGTTCAATTCCTGCTACCAGGAAAAAAAATATTTGAGTACAAAATGACCAACTGGATGGGAGCTGCAAGGGCTGGGTAACCAGTTCTGACTTGCAGGGCCACTGGCGTTGCAATCCACTGACACCTGCCTGTGAAATGTCAGCGTGTCATTGAAGTCACAATTCTGTTTTCTGAAAGATAAAGCTATTGCTTATTGTAGAAATGGGAGAGTGCAGGATCAAGCACTGGCCCAGTGTCCTGGTGAAGTAGTGAAAGAACCCAGCCTACAGAGGCTGGGACGTGGCTTGGTGGTGGAGCCCTTGTTTGGCATGCACAAAGTCCTGCATTCAATCCCCAGTACTACTATTTAAAAAAAAAAAACCACCTACGGAGAGCCTAGCCTAGAAGGCACATGGCCTGTTCTCAGCATTGTGCTCTTGCCTTAGGTCACTCCTGCCACAGGAACCCACGTCCGGAAAAGTGATGGCACTTGCCGCTGTAGGAAGGAAAGCCATTCTGTGCAAGATGCTTGGACCCTGCCCCTCCCACATCTCGGTAGCTCCTACACGGACAAGTTAGATACAGGAAGGTGCAGTCCTTTCCCGGTCTGGCATTCCTACTTAGCTCGCACTAACTTGTCACCAGGGAAGGGTAAGGCAGAGCCGCAAAGTGGGTTCTACCTACCCTCTTCTGTGCCTGCTTTCTCCAGCCCTGTCACATTGTGCTGACATCAATTTTAATGAGGCTCTGATACCGCTGTGTTGACAGTTTGAAAAGGGAGTCGAGTTACTGACAGACTTCAACCAGCCAAACAGTTGCTGCGCAGGCGAGCCACCAAGATTGCGATGAGTGGAAGTCCTTCCCAGAGCCGATGAGGCTGGCTGGACCGTCTCCCCAGAGGGCTTGGGAGAGTGCAGGAGAAAGTTACCTTTAGATTGCTCTGTCTGGTTAGGGGGCTTGCCCTGGCTCAGAGTTGAGGTTGCTGTTGGTGACAGCGCTGCTGCTCCGGTGCTGGGGGAGGAGCAGGCTGTGAAGGAGTTCTCAAACAATCCAGCACCAGGCATTTTGTTAACTGGCTGATACTGGATCTGCCCGAGCCACTTCCCTCTCAGTTTTTACTGAAGACCTGGTGCCCAAGCTGAGCGAGCACGTCACCCCAGCCATCCAAGTCCCAGTATGGTATGCAGTGAGGGTTAGCCAGCAGCGGGGATGCCAGCCATCGCTTCTCATGTTATTCCTCCTGAGTACTCGCCAGAGGAGCCAGGGAGAACTGGGGCTGGCGGCGATAGCTGTAGAGGAGCAAAGGAGAGCAGTGGCAGGAGGCGAGTGTGGCTGTGAGTTAGCCAGGTAAGGCCAAGTGAGGGCTGCACCCCCATCTCGACCCCAGAGGAGCGAGATGTCTTCCAGAAGCTACAGCAGGAACATAATACTAGTAGGACGATTGGGCTAGTCAGTCCTGTACTAGCAACTTGTTTTTTTCAATTTCAAATAAAACTACTTTATTAACCTAAAATATTGCACACCACACAGTTTACAAACTTAAAATGTATGAATCAGTACGTTTATACACACTGACAGAGTTGTACAACAATAAGCACATTCAAACCTAGGTCATTTTTGTTATCCCAAATCAAAACATTCTACCTACTAGCTGTCATCTCCCAATCCTTCCCCGCCAAATCTAGGACCACTATCTTCATAGAGTTTCCTGGGTTTTTTTTGAGACAGTCTCTCTATGTAGTTCAGGTTAGCCTTAAACTAGCTAGCCTCCTACCTCAGCCTCCCAAAATGCTGAGATGACAGGGAAGTATCATCATGTCTGGTTTACAATGTCCTTTCCTTTTCTAAATTTATTTGTTTTGAGACA